TCTCTCTCTCTCTCTCTCTCTCTCTCTCTCTCTCTCTAAACTGACACACTGGCCGTCGTGGTTAAAGCCTCTTCTGTCTTGAATCTGGAACACAAACGAATATTGATCTGGTTTAATAAACAATAATAAATGTGTCACTGTTTCATTAACAGGTTATAAATTATTCCTGATCGGCAGATTAGGTCTGGGTTTTTTCTGTCTGGATCAATACTGAGGCGCCCACACACACACACACACACACACACACACACACACACACACACACACGCACACAGGGTGTTTACAGCGTGATGATCTGTATTGAATCTCTGGAGGAATCAAATTCGTATCAGTAATGAATGAATTAATCAATACTGTACTCTATCATTATGTTGACTCTGTGTGAGACTCTGATTCCTCACTAACGAGATTCCAAATATTCACTGACTGAATCGAGCAGCTGTGTTTATTAGATAAGAAGTGCAGACGAGGTTAATCTGTATTAAAACTTCTGCTTCATTAAAGAACATTCAGCATCTGATCTGAGCAGCATTTAAAAAGAACAAAGTGGAAAATTTACATAATTTTACTGACGAAACACAAAATCACAGAACAAAAATCTGTAAACGTTACAGTAAAATCCAGAGAACAGAGGACAAGACAGGTGAACGAGTGAATGCGGACATGAGAGTTTCAGTGACAATAGAGGTGAATGAGTGAGTGTGGAGGTGAATTAATAAATATAGGATAAATAAATGAGCAAAGAAGTGAATTTGTGTACAATGATTGAGTGCAGCTGAGAGGTGAATAAGGGAGTATAGTGAGATGAATGAATGAGTATAGTGAGATGAATGAGTGAGTCAAGGTGAATGAGTGATGGTGAGTGAGTGAGTGAAGATGAGTGATGGTAAATGGGTGACAGTAAGTGAGTAAGTGAATGATGGTGAATGGGTGAGTGGGGGTGAATAAGTGATGGTGAATGAGTGAGTGATGGTGAATGGGTGATGGTGAGTGAGTGATGATAAATGAGTGACATTGAGTGAGTAAAGGTGAATGAGTGAGTGAAGGTGGGTGAGTGATAGTGAATGAGTGATGGTGAGTGAGTGAAAGTGAGTGAGTGATGGTGAATAAGGGAGTGATGGTGAGTGACCATAAATGGGTGATGGTGAGTGATTGTGAATGGGTGATGGTGAGTTAGTGTTGGTGAATGAATGAACGCAGGTGAGTCTTTGTGAATGGGTAATGGTGAGTGAGTGATCGTGAATGGATGATGGTGAGTGAATGAAAATGAATTATCATGAACAGGTGGTGGTGAGTGATGGTAAATGAGTGGAAATGAGTGAGTGAAGATGAATGAGTGACTCAATGTTGAGTGAGTGAGTGAGTGAGTAATCGTGAATGGGTGACGGTGAGTGAGTGATTGTGAATGGGTGATGGTGAGTGAGTGAAGGTGAATGAGTGACTCGATGTTGAGTGAAGGTGGGTTAGTGACGGCGAGTGAGTGAGTAATCGTGAATGGGTGACGGTGAGTGAGTGATCGTCAATGGGTGATGGTGAGTGAGTGAGTGAGTGAGTGATGGTAAATGAGTGAAAGTGAGTGAGTGAAGGTGAACGAGTGACTCAATGTTGAGTGAAGGTGGGTTAGTGATGGTGAGTGACGTTGAATGAGTGAGTGAGTGATGGTAAATGAGTGAAAGTGAGTGAGTGAAGGTTAGTGAGTGAGTGATGGTGAAAGGTCGAGTGAGGTTCAGTACCTGTGCTGTTTGGGTGTCTCTCTCCTCATGTTGTCAGTAATGTGGGTCGGTCTGCTGTACATCAGCGTTCCTCCAGCTCCGGTTCCTTGGTTCTTCGGTTCTGTGATTTTTGGTAAAAATCCCAGCTGAGGCTTTAGAACACGCACACAGAAGAAATGCGTTTCCTTTTCTCGTCCAGTCTCCTCTCTCTCTCTCTCTGTCTGTCTGTCTCTCCCCCCACGCTTTTTCTTTTCCTCTGAAAATCAGCAGGTCTTGTTCTCCTCACCCCCCCACTCTCTCCCTCTCTCTCTCTCTCTCTCTCTCTCTGTTTTGTTCTCCTCTGCTCTGAGCTGTGATGCTCTGCTCTGTTCAACAGTCTGATTGTTTCTCTCTCTCCGTCCTGCTTTTTGTTGTCTTCCCTTCTTTCCCAGAGAGATGGGCGGGGGGTGGTGGGTTTGGGAGCAGGGGGAGCTCCTTGGCTTCCCCTCTGTCTGTTGATCTCTCTCTCTCTCGCTGTCTCTATCTTTCTCTCTCTCTCTCTCGCGCTCTGTTTCTCTCTAATGTCTCTCAGAACTGCTGCTCTGAAGGAGAAATGAAATGCTCTCTCAAGTTCAAGTTCAAATTTGCTTTATTGACATGACAAATGTACATTTGTATTGTCAAAGCACAACAAAAAATGATCTATATATTAAAAGTTAATAAAGAAAAATATATATAAAAAATAATAATAATAATAATAAAACAAAATACAAACCAAGATTAATATATGATAATGTAATAATTAAGAACAGAAAGTGTTAATCATAAATTAATAATATAAAAGTACATGTAATAATAAAACAAAACCTATTGAATATGTGTGTAGTTTATAATAGAGAAGAGAAAAGAAAATGTTAATAATAAAATATAGGGAAAAGAAAACATCTATATATATAAAGGACATCTATATTACATATGTACGTATATAACTGTGAGTAAAGGCTGTGGTGTGGTGGTCACTCACTGTCCCGGAGTGTATGGCACTCGTATACATATCTGATGATCATATACATATCTGATCATATACTCTCTTTCTCTCTTTGTCTCTCTGTCTGTGTTTCTGTAGTGATGGATAGATTTTATCACTCCTCTCTCTCCCTGTTTCAGATAAACCTCACTCTCTCTTTTCTCTCCTGTCGTCTCTGACATGTTGATTGTGTAATGTTGCGTCTGCGGAGTCGCTTTACAGCCTTTAATCTCACTGATTATTCACTGTGTTAATAACTGAGTGGAGGTGACTGAGTGAATATAGAGGTGAATGAATGAGGGATGAATGAGTGAGTGTATGTGTTGATTGAGTAAATGTTGAGATAAATGAGTTAGTGAGGAGGTGAATGTGGAGGTGAATTAGTGAGTGTACAGGTGAATGAGTGAGTATGGGGTGAATGAGTAAATATGAGTCTAATTTTTATTTATAGGCGAATGAGTGAGTGTAGAGGTCAATGAAAGAGTGTAGAATGAGTGATGATGAGTGAATTAATGAATGAATGTTGAGGTGTATGACTGAGTGTTAATATGAGTGAATGAGTGAGTTTAGAGTGTATAGAGTGGCCATAGTGGCTAATGAGTGAGTGCAGAGATGAATAAGTGAATATAAAGGTGAATGAGTGAGTATTTAGATGAATGAGTGAATAAAGAGGTGAACGAGGGAGTGTACAGATGAGTGAGTGAGTGTAGAGGCAAATGAGGGAGGATTTAGCTGAATGATCGAGGGAGGACGTGAATGAATGTGTGTGTAGGTGAACGAGTGAGTGTGCACTTCAATGAATGAGTGAGTGCAGAGGTGAATGAGTGACTGTAGAGATGAATAAGTGAATGTAGAGTAAAATAGAATGTTGAGGTGAATGAGTGAGTATTTAGATGAACAAGGGAGTGTTTAAATGAATGAGTGAGTGTTAGATGAGTGTGTGAGTGTTTAGATGAATGAATGAGGGTTTAGAGGAACGAGTGAGTGTTTAGATGAATGAGTGGTTGGTGAACATGTGAGTGTTTAAATGAACAAGTGATTGTTTAGATGAATGAGTATTTAGATGAATGAGTGAGGGTTTTGATTAACGAGTGAGTGTTTAGATGAATAAGTGCATGTTTAGATGAAGGAGTGATTAGATGAATGAGTGAGTGTTTAGATGAATGAGTGAGTGTTTAGATGAAGGAGTGAGTGTTTAGATGAATGAGTGAGTGTTTAGATGACTGAGTGTTTAGATGAATTAGTGAGTGTTTAGATGACTGAATGAGTGTTTTGATGAACTAGTGTGTTTAGATGACTGAATGAGGGTTTAGAGGAATGAGTGAGTGTTTAGATGAATGAGTGAGTGTTTAGATGAATGATTGTTTAGAGGAATGAGTGAGTGGATGAACGAGTGGTTAGATAAATGCGTGAGTGTTTAAATGAACAAGTGATTGTTTAGATGAACGAATGTTTAGATGACTAAGTGAGGGTTTAGATTAACGAGTGAGTGTTTAGATGAATAAGTGCATGTTTAGATGAAGGAGTGAGTGTTTAGATGAATGAATGAGTGTTTAGATGAATGAGTGGGTGTTTAGATGAATGAGTGAGTGTTTAGATGAATGAATAAGTGTTTAGATGAATGAGTGGGTGTTTAGATGAATGAGTGAGTGTTTAGATGAATGGGTGAGTGTGTAGGGAAGGAGTGAGTGTTTAGATGAATGAGTGAGTGTTTAGATGAATGGGTGAGTGTTTAGGTGAAGGAGTGAGTGTTTAGATGAATGAATGAGTGTTTAGATGAATGGGTGAGTGTTTAGGTGAAGGAGTGAGTGTTTAGATGAATGAATGAGTGTTTAGATGAATGGGTGAGTGTTTAGGTGAAGGAGTGAGTGTTTAGATGAATGAGTGTTTAGATGAATGGGTGAGTGTTTAGGTGAAGGAGTGAGTGTTTAGATGAATGAATGAGTGTTTAGATGAATGAGTGAGTGTTTAGATGAGCAAGTGAGGGTTTAGATGAATGAGTGGGTGTTTAGATGAATGAGTGAGTGTTTAGGTGAAGGAGTGAGTGTTTAGATGAATGAACGAGTGTATGAGTGATGTTACAGTTTTTTCCTTAGTTTATTTAATGTATAAACTCTTTTCTCTTTTTATTAATATATTACTAAATAATATATTATTAATATATAATTGATGATATTTTCTCTGTTGATTTTGCTGCTGCTGTTTCTCAGTGCAGCTCTTCGTGATCCTGATCTGCTGTAATGTTTCTGTGATCTGTGATGTTTTCAGTGATGAACTCAGTG